TCTCTGACCCATAAGGCTAATCTCAGGTCATAGTTCTATGATCTGTGAGTTAGCCTCGCTACTGAAGAATATATAAGATAAAGAGCGATCCCTTTTCACAATAGCAATATTATAATATAGCATAATGATTTCTTAAATTTACGCGAACACTACACATTGAATAAAACTATATATACGGATTTAATCGCGTTTAATTAATTTTTTAATATGTTTTTAATTCCCGCACCCATGGTCACATGGGGGGACTGAGATGTTTGACGTCCCAATGTCATAGTTAGCCCGGCTACCTGCAGTTTTTTAATATTAATTTTTGGTCCGATCTACGCAGAACGAGCTTACAGTGTCTTGAAGTCTTGCAGTGGTATGCTTGGGTTTGGATTCTTTTTGGGAGCAGCAACCATTTATTTTCTCTATTGAAATTAGGATGTTTTTTAATTTTAATAGTCGCGCGTATCATCCTTGGTTGAAATCGGTGTTCTTTTGCTAGCTTTTGGTTTATCAAATCTGATGTAATGGTGGAGACGATCTTGAACATGTTCCCAGACTACAGACATCCCAGAGTATATGTTCCTTAACGCAGGTTTTTATAGATATTTTTGTTAATCCTATATAAGAGAGACCACATTTACAATCTAGCTTGTACACTCCTGCACCTTGTAGGGGAATATTACACTTGATGGATGATAAAAACTGACTAATCTTCTTCGACAGCTTGTAGTATGTTTTAGTAGAAACTCACTTTAAGATGTAGCCAACCTTGTCTGTAACTTCTCAGACTTACAGTAGAACAGCAAGCACATGCTCGACTGTGGCCGGCTTCACTCGGTTACTGTGACGTAGGCGCGGGACCCGAAGCTGGTTGTCGTGCAAAACTTGCTAGATATTTTGGAGCTCGACAGCCAGGTGTTTACTGTCACAGATCCCTCGTGCTCTCTGAAATAATGATTTACCCACAGTAGCTAACTGAGAGGGATGGTGGTAAGAATCACCGTTTAAATATCTATCTGTAAGGGTCTTTTTTCTATACACAGTGTGACCAATAGTGTTATCAGGATTTTAGATGACTAATACATCTAGGAAAGCTAAAGAATTATTTCCCTTAACTCAACTGTGAATTGTATTTAAGAGTTTTTGAAGTTAAGGTGGTTTAAAAATGTGTTTACTTTGTCACATAGTATAATTGTGAAAGTGTCGTCTATATATCGCTTATAGAATCTTGGATTCACAGGAGCACTAAGAAGGGCTTTCTCCTCAAATACCTACGTGAATATGTCGGAAACTATGGGAAATACAGTTGAGCCCTTCGCCATACCATCAATCACATTGTATAACTCATCCTTCCATAATAGAAAGGCAGATGTGAGGCAATGTTTAAGTAATATTGCATATTCTTCAGGCATGTTATTTTCTTCTAGCTACGTAGTTACAATTGAAATGCAGTCATCAGTAATGTAAATAGTAAGTGAACATCAAAACTAAGCATAGTTTCATTGCCAGTTAGATGTAGGTCCTTTATCTCACTAACAAAATGGTATGAATCCAAACCCAAGCGTACAACTACAGTAATTAAGGATACTGTGAGCACGTTCTGCTGAAATCAGTCCAAAAATGAATATTCAAAAACGGAAGCTAGCCGGACTAACTATGACATTGGTACGTCAAACACCTCAGTCACCCCCATGACCTCGTTTACTGTGAAGCACTCGAAACGTCGGGAAATAAAAATAAGATTAAATAAGTTAATTAGACGCGATAAAATCCGTATATATAGTTTTATATTATAGCATATAAGAATATAATTCTATGTATTTTTAAATTGCACTAGTCTTTACTTCTTTATATTTTAGCATCCCGTTGCACCCACCATTATGTAAATGTTTGTTTTAGTTAGTGAAAATATATGTATTTATGAGAGGTCTTTATTTGAATATGTCGTAAATAAAATTAAAAATATATTAGTGATGTTTGCAATCAGTACTTTCGGTTTTTATTGAATTTGAAAAATTCTTATTTATAACGTACAATTTTTATCGTATGACTAATTTAAATGCTTGAAAACTTTAAAAAAATCCTACGAGTGTGACTTCAATCGTACATCTGCCAACCTTGCAGACAATCTTGCAATAGAGCAAAACTTTGTAAAGAATTCGGGATATACGACATTTTGCCTGAATATTTAATTAATTATTACAATCCCAACTCAACCTATCAGAGTCCACTACTGAACATAAGCCTCCTATATGAGATGTTTGCCATAGTTCCATCCACACCCACTGGATGAAATGGGGTATTGGTGGATATTCTTACACCGCCATAGCACGGTGTCTTAATAGTATATAAAATGGGTATAATTATTACAATTTGGGTTTACATCATTATCTATTATTGTCCTATTTACTGATGTTTCTTGATGTTTTTTAACCTCTTAACATTTTTCATGGCTTTTATTTATGAATAGCACCAACGCTTTGGTTTCTTTTAAATTTACCAAAATTTAATTTGCGTAAAGCAACTTCAAAATAAGTTTGACCAAGTATTTTCATATTTTATTTCCTCGGTCACTGTATTTCTATACAATATGTAACGTAATTAACGCACACCCTCAGATACCCCAATTAGTATATTATGTTATAATCATAATACATATACTGAATTTTTAGTTAAACATTTTTATGCACTGATTATTTATCAAATTAGTTATACTAAGTCCGGAAGTATGTTGTGGTCACAGTACAAATCCACGAACGCAAAGACTTTAACGTGCTTGAAATAAAGTTCATTTTTCTTTATTTTTATTGAATGACAGAATTAGTAATAATACAAATAAAACTGCACTCTTAAAAGTCTTATTGCCTTAAGTTACGGTCCATTTCAGTTTGTTTTGACTGTACAGATTTAGTGTGACTGTAATTTACGTAGTTTTAATTATTTTTGGGATAAAAATAATAACATAAACACTCACGCCTGTCACCCAGAGCAGAGACTACAGACTTCCATTTAGCACGATCCTGACATACCTTTCTCGCCTCTTCCACATCCATATACCTACGCATACATGCTCGTCGGTTAAGGGTACTCTTAATTTGGCCCATTTTTAGTATATCGCCAATTTGGTCGACAAACTTCCGCCTAGGACGTCTCTTTCCGACACTTTCATTCACTTCTGCAACATATATTTGCTTTGTCAGTCTTTCCGCATTCATTCTTTCTACATGACCAAACCACCGAAGCATTCCTTTCTTAATCCTGGTCACCGCATCATCTTGCAAACCACACTCTTCTTTTATCACACAGTTTCTCACCCTGTCACTCAGATTCAGTCCTAACATACTCCTTAGCGACCGCATTTCTACTGCATTTATTCTACTCTCGTGCTTCTTCTGCCACACCCAACTTTCACTACCATACGTTAAAGTAGGGACTAATACAGCACTGTGAATTGCCATACGTGCCTTTTTTGATACATTCTGACTTTTCACAATAGAGTGTAGAGCCCCATTTACTTTATTTCCTGCATTCACTCATCGTTCAATATCCTTATCATATCTCCCATCCCTGCTGAATACACATCTCAAATATACGAACTCATCCACTTGCTCAATTAACTCTCCTTCTATTCTTATTTCACATACCGTTTTGCTTTCATCTCTTTCAAAAACCATCACTTTCGTCTTACTTGCGTTCACTTTCATTCCCCTTTCTTTTAATGACCTGTTCATTAATGTAACCATCATTTGCAACTCGGCCGCCGACGACGCAAGTATGACTTGATCATCGGCGTACAAAAGGCATTTGATGGTTAACTCACCCATTCTTAACCCGCATTCTTCAACTTTCAAATTTTCCTAACAGCTGTCCATAAATAGGTTGAACAGCCACGGGGAAGCTACACAGCCCTGTTTGACACCTTTATGGATGCCAAACCAGTCCGAGTAGACCCCGTTGATTCTAACACAAGCATTGGGATAAAAAATTACCTATAAATCGATTCAGTAAACGATTCTGAACAAACTGCTTTCTCAAAGTGCGTTAATTATGGTTCGTGTTGTATATATGTTAAATAAATAAATGTTATATTTATTCTTATATCCGACTCCAAGTGAATAGGTATTATAAATCTTACATATTTTTCGTTTTATGCAACGAGAATACTCGTAACTGAGTGCAGAGTCGTGTTTCAGGAACCAGACGTTATAAGCGACTGAATACATAAAATTATTGCTTTTATTGTATAAAGTATATACGTCCCACTGGACTGCTTAACACTGGCTTCCTTTTATATCTGAGAGTTTTATAAGGCAAAGAAGTGTCTTGAAGTTAAAGTTACAAAAGTCTTCGATTTTTTAAAAAAAAACAATTCGTGACCGTTAATTCGCAAATTAAGTTTTTATTAAATAGAATTTGATCTAATGGTATCTTATTCTCACTAAAGTTTAATAATTTACATTCAACTCATACTTTATCTTCCTAGGTATATTATTTTAATTATGACACTAGGTGTTTTTGGAATCTTAAAATTTTACACAATCAGTTCCTGATATTTTAACACCTTAGAGCTGTACGATCAATTTTCTTGACATGGATTAATACAAGGGCTAAGGAAGATAGCAAAATTACGATATAATGTTGCCAAATATTTATAGAGTATTAATTTAGTTATGAATGATGTATGAAGGCAACTAAAGCAAAATCCCAAATAATTGCGTAAGATGGCAGCGCTACTTTGATGATCAAAAGTTGGTGAAGGTGGTGAGTAAAATAAGAAAATTAAGTGGTAGGCCTATATGGGTTAACCCATATAGGCCTACCGTACCCTATGTGGTACAGTTACTTTGTAAAAATATTTTGATGTACCCACAAATTATTAACTTTTTTGGTTAGTTGTGGCAGATAACTCAGAGTATTAGTTTTATATCAACAATATAACATACACATTTTATGCGAGTTATTATCAGTTTATATTAAAATTGCTAGACAGAAACGGAAAAAAACAATTTACAATGTCTTCAAGAAGGTAAGTTTCATGTTATCTATAGTAAATCATATTATTTGTTGGTATTATTTTAAATACTAGGCTACAATAGACGTAATAGCTACAAATAAGTTTCACTTGGGTCATTTTAGTAAGGTGTACACAGTGCTAGATTAGGTGTATCATATATGGTACAGTAGGTCTATGTATGAGCACAAAATACCTAAGTCAATTTACATATTATTATATTAGCTTTTTATTTATCTTTTTGTGTTTTATTGTTTTAGGTCATTGACATTACATGAAATTGCTACAGTTCTTGAGGAAGATGATGATTTTAGCAACCAGAGACAAGATTTTGATATTTTTTTACTTCCACCTGACACCGCCAATGATTACCAAACTGACGAGGACTCGGGTGAAGAAGATAACGTCAGCATAAATAATTTGCCTGGAAGTTTGCTTCGAGCTCCAGCGGGCTTGCTGCCTCAACCTCAATGGAAAAACCAGAAACTGAGGACCAAACCCCTCCCGAATTTCAAGAACCTTTAAAAAAACGTGTCATGAATTACAATTGGCGAAAACGAGACTTGCAGCTAAGACCTATTGTTTGGAAACCCCTTTATCATACTCCTATTGAAAGAAGCCCGATAGAATGGTTTTCTTTATTATTTTCAGAAGAAGTATTTGAGATGCTTACTATTGAAACCAATAGATACTTAGCACGTAAGCTTCTCTCTGCTGACGTCAAGATTGAAGAGATGAAATGTTTGGTAGGGATTTTGTTAGTCAGTGGCTACTGCCAAGTGAGCAGAAGAAGAATGTACTGGGAAAATGCATCTGACTCAAGAAATAGTTTGATTGCTTCAGCCTTGTCTCGAGATAGATTTACACTAATTTACTCTAATATTCATGTTGCTGATAATCTAAATTTAGATACATCCGATAAATTTGCAAAAGTTCGTCCTTTATTAAAAGTTTTAACTATGAGGTTTCTTGAGCACTGTCCACATAAGGAGAATCATAGTGTTGATGAGGCTATGGTCCCATATTTTGGTCATCACGGCTGCAAACAGTTTATTAGAGGCAAGCCTATAAGATATGGATACAAATTATGGGTTGGTGCAACATCAGGAGGTTACATTGCATGGTTTGAACCATACCAAGGTGCTTCTACATTTACGAATGCCCAATATTCCCAGCTTGGTCTTGGTGCAAGTGTGGTTTTGTCTTATGCAGATCAACTAGCAACATTAGGCTATGGAAAAAACTACCATCTCTTCATAGATAACTTTTTTACCGGTTTGCCTTTGGTTCATGAACTTACTGAGAGGGGATTTCGTGTAACTGGTACTATCAGAGAAAATAGATCTGGAAAGTGCCCTCTATTAAGTAACAAAGAAGCAAAGACAAAAGAAAGAGGCTTTTATGATTATCGCATATCTGATGATATTATAATTTGCAAGTGGCATGACAATAGTATAGTGTCAGTATGCTCTAATGCAGTTGGTGTTGATCCTGTCCACAAAACTGAACGCTATTCTCAGCAACTAAAAAAGAAAATATCTGTTTCTCAACCTCATCTCATTCAACAATACAATAAAAATATGGGTGGAGTAGATTTATCAGATCAGAATATATCGTCATTGCGAACTAGCATTCGAGGAAAAAGTGGTATATGCCTCTGATTCTCCATTGTATAGACATGTCTGTACAAAATGCATGGCTGCTGTACAGACATAATGGAGGGAATATCGACTTGCTAAACTTTCGACGTCGTATTGCAAACTATATTATCGATTGTAATAAACAACGCGAAAGGCCAGGTCCTAGTCGACCATCTTCAATAACATCAGACTCTCGATACGACGGCAAAGAACACTATGTCAGCAAGCAGGAAAAGAGGACCAGGTGTGGCCTATGCCACAAACAATGTCCTACAAGATGTGTCAAGTGCAATATCGGTGTCCACGTAGAGTGCTTTATTATGTATCACACCAAAAAGTAAATAAAATCTAATTAGTAAAATCATGTCTTTTTTTTGCATACATATAGTCCTACTGTACCATATGTGGTACGTCCCTTCAGTCGCCCCCCTCTTATTAATTTTTTTTTTAAATATTTTTCCCCCCGGTTTTTAGGCTTTCTTGGATCAGGTTTTGTTAATGAAACATGAATTTTTCACAAAAATAATTATCGGTCTAAATGGGTTAAGTCACGCGGCAGCTATATTATGTTCGACCGGAGAGGACCGTGCTCACATATAATGCTAGCGTAAAATAGCATCTTAATGCTGATGTGTTTCGTATAGTATTTGTAGAAAAACCCTTTTTATTGGAAACTAGGTATTCCATCTTAGTCCGCAGGGGATGACAACGCATCTACATTTTGGTTCTTAATTGATGATAGACGTAGATGTCGATGGGCCACAGCATCCACTTATCCTCAGGTGGGTTAATTGCTCTTTTACCACCCTTATGCTAAATCAACGACATAAATTGTTAGCTTCTGCATGTGCATGTATTATTGTTCATGATTTTTTGTTATAGTATAAAGGTGACAAACGAACACACATATCTCAGTAGTGATGCGTAGAATATATATAGATGAGTTTTAATGATTGCGAGTTGAGTGAAGACTTATGGCTCTTTGTATGCTCTTTATGGTTGAAAAACTTTATTTATCTGTTTTTTTTTTTTGTAATTAATTTTTTTAAAAAAAAAAAAAATTAATTTATAATATTTTTTCCTTTTATAATTTTTTTACTTATTATATTCCCTCTATTCATTAAAGTGTAAAACGAGCCAGCAGTCTCACGACTGCAGAAATTTTTAAACAAAGAAGTTGACAAAAATCACCCCTATTTTGTCACCCCTGAGAACTGAAGGTGTAATACGTTATAGCCTTGTAGTATCTGCAACAACCTAGTCGGATTCCTATGCGAAAAAGGCCGGTGTAGTAAGCGCCTAGTAGCTATCAAAAGAGATAGTATGAGTATAAAAATTGTGCGTGTTATTGTGTACGAACGTACAAAACTCTAACTTTTTTACGACATATTATTATTCTTTTATTTTTATATTTTACACAAGAAGGCTAGACAATAATATAACTCATGCAGCCCCGGCGGTGAAAACCTTACAAGAAAACGTGACGTTTTTGATTTTCAATAGCGTACAAAATTTATCCACTACGTCGATAAAAAAGTTTCACTTCAAAAACCTTAATTTGCATTATTGCTGGGCACAGGTCGCCTTTTGATTCAGTCAAAGTTAATTTTCATGTCCCTGTCGAAACCCTTACAAGGGTTCCTTTGTTTTTCACACGTGTCCCATCTGTCAATAAACTTTCTCAAAAACGGGTAGAAGTCAAGTTGAGATAAATATAAAATACCAAGGTCTATAGTACCTAGGATATGTGATAAATTCAAGCCTCTAAATCTTCGCAATGATAAATACGGTCGGCTACGTCACATATTTTGACACTCGCAAACTTATTCATCAAAGTCTATAGGGTAATTACCGTTGACCTAGAATCAGGTTATTTGACAATAGCCAAGGTTTAATAAATTAATGAAAAATATGTTAAGCGATTACAAACTTGCATTTCTTTCAACTGCAAAATTATACTACTATTGTATTACTGAAATAACTTTCAATAATTAGAGGCAAATAAGAGAAAAGGCCCGAGAATTGAACCTGAGGAACGCCCATATGTACTATATCTACAATATGGCACGGCACGACACGGAAAAAAATTCGTTACTTACCTTACGTTTATATTTCCCGAGATATATGAACTATGTTCATTATTACCTCTACACCAAAGCCTTGGCTCGAATTTTCTTCTGTCTTATTATGTATATAAAAGTCAGTTGCTATCCGTTAGTCTCATTAAAACTCAAAAACAGCTGGAGCGATTTAAATTAATTTTTGGTATGGGTTCTTGAGTGGTTTAGATTCAACAACAAGACAATCGGAATAGGTAGGTGGCACCATTTTTGAGATCAAGAAATCACTCGTGTGAAGCCGGGGCGGACCACAATCACAATCAAGTAATCTATAAATATGGATTTTATAATCTATACACTCATTAAAATAAGTCGGTAATATTGTAATTAGTTTTTGTTGGAGATTATTGTCATCTAGAATTAAGGACACAAAAGTAAAATATAATAAATAAATAAACTTCGAAATTTAACATAATTACATTATAATCAACACATTTTCACATTCAATCAAATATACCGTTAGCGCTCCTTCCTATCTAATGTCATATCTACAAAAGCTGAAGTTAGAATAAGAAAGTAATATTTATTATATATTATTTGAAAATTGACAAGCAGTATCCTGTACAGTGCCGTGCGTAATGGAGGAAGCGTAAGAAATCATCTACGAGAATCACTACTTGCTTGTGACTGTTATGGGGAATAAAAAATATAAAGAAGTACCCCGTTTATTAGTCGCTGCATTTACAATCTATAAAAATCTGAACATAAGTTGTCTTTATATATACTGAACAAAAAGTTGTTTTAACATCAATGTGGTAGAGCCACGCTGCAGATGTATCATAGTTTCATCACGAATGGGTCAACACGACCGGGGAAAACCACGATCTCACGTAATATAACTGCTTAATGTTGCTGTCACTTATAGTTTCATATGGTGAATTTAGAGAAACAGGAATGCTTGTAACTGGTAACGAGGCATTTTATCTTAATTTTTAATCCAGGCGTCTATGGGCACAGTACCCACCTACCATCAGTTGTATTAAGTGCTCGTATGTCAACATTTTCCATTTAAAAAGTAAAAATTTTACAAAATGTATATTTAACATTTGGCGCCATATTACATTATTTCGTTTCTTCTTTAGTGGCCTGTAAAACTTTACTACGGGTAATTTTTTTAGAAGATGAGGACGACCATGCGCCTTACCGGTTGTTTAGAGGATTTACCATATTCATTACGCTCGTATTTCAGGCGTGTAAAATCCTCACGAATATTTTCCTTCCCTAAGCACGTGGTTCAGCTCTTGGGCTTTCTTTTGTGCTGAATGAACTCTGACGGCTCGCGAATTATGATCACATTTTTAAAGGTAAACTTATTTTACCACATTATAAGTTTTTTTTTTACTTTGAAATAGATGAAATTACTTGATATCTTAACGAATTTAATTAATTACTAAAATTCAATTCATTAAGATATAATTTCACATTTAATAAAGTTTTTTAATTAAACTTAAGCGAAAATCTAGTGTCATAAGCTCTTTGTTGAAGTCACATTTGCGCCACAAGCGCCAAGTTTTATTAAAATCTACTAATAAAATAATAACAACACGAGTTTTCTTACTTTGCGCTCATCTAATTGAAATAGTTCAAACCGACTTTAAGAAAAGAGAGTTCAACTGTATTTTTTAATTAATATAACACGATATCTTTGAGGTTATTTACCTACTTAGCTGTTTATCTTTCGAATAAGATTCAAAAAGCATAATATGCATTGTACACTTGGAAACTAAGGATTTATCAGTAGTTCTACTCACTCACCATAGGAAAC